CTTTTAAGCTTTAATCTTAGAAAATATTCTTCGTAAAAGATCTTTTAATTTCGAAGATATTTCAAAAAATATAATAGTTATAAAGTTTGAGGGATGTTTTCAATTATTTCGAGTTTATATTAGAAATAAATCTAAGGATTTATTTATTTTTTCTTGCTTTGATTCTAAAATTAAATTAAAAATGATTCATCCAACGAAAGAGGAACGAAAATTTTCATTCTTATTAACTTCGTGTGCGAAAAAACAAAAATTAAAAAAAACGATATGTAGAAAAAAGAAAAGATGATTGGAGTTTCGTTTAATCCCGATGAAATTCCACCAGATATAAAAATTCGAGCGTACTTAGAAAGGTGAACGTTGTACATTCGATCTTACTCGGTGAAAGAAAAGAAAGTATGGGCAACGCGCCGTATATTTCAAGAAAACAAGATGCCAGAGATCTCGTGATCAACCGGAAAGTGCATCACGTGAAACGGAAGTTGTGAGCGGCGAATAATCGACCTTAATTATATTCTACGCTCCATATATTCATTTATCGTGAAAAACGACGAAAAAACTTGCCTACGTTACTAGAAAAATTGTCTCATAATGGAGAATATCTATCTATGGTGCATTTATTCTTTCGTTTAGTTCTTTTTTTGGAATAAAAAAAGTAACTAGAATATCACGTTAGATGGATGTCATTACGCGAGAAAAATTAAGGAAAATAAATTTTGTGGAAAGTTCAATTTATTATAAATATCACTAAATTATGAAAACTCATCAAACAACTTTTAAATAAAACTTTTCGTTTTTGCGTGTCAAATTTCAGTTCAATTGAATTTTGAAAAACGATTCGATTAATTGCATTTGCATATATCAGAGATTTGAATGATTCTATGATGAATAATAACTCAAAAGATAGCTCATTCGTTACATTGTGACATAGTGTGAAGTAATTATCACCGTGTTGAGGAACAGTCATTGCCATGCGTGTAAATCAACAAGCTACAAATTGCCGGATAATAAAATCATATATTTATTATGACTTTACTACGCCTCATCTAATTTATAAGACTTATTTTTAGATTAGCAGACCTGCTATTTGAACTTGAGAATTGTTAAGGTTAGAAAAATATTTCTAGGGATCGTTAACCTTAAAATCTTATATTTCTCTGAATATGATCATAAAAATAAATATTTTTTCCCTAAAAAGTTGTAATTGATAAATTATGATATTGAAAATTTAATGCATCACTTTAAAAATGAAACGAGATTATACTACCATGAAAATGATTTTCAAGAAATGTCAACAATACCTCGTCTTTTCCCACGACCAGAAAACCATGTCGATACTCAGCAACAAGACTTAAACCCGGTTTCTAAAAGCACCGTTATGGAAATTGAGGGCTGTTGAAAATATCATGTTAATTTCCAACTTTTTGAGCCCTCTTTATAATGCATTAATATATAAATAATGAACGTACCTTGAATTAACACGAGAAACAAATATTTATTAATTATTGATTGATTCTATGTAAAAATTATTGATATCAAGCAAACTAATTATTAACGACTCAAAAAAATATATTTTTTTTAATATAATTATATTTCTTGATAAAAAAAAATTATTTAGAAATGTTTATATGTAATTATGTTTTGAAAAAATGGTCATCGTATCATTTCTTTCGAATGATCCACCGTGAAATGGTTAATAATAAAAAATTTTTACTAATAGGATTAAAAATTAAGTAATTTAACTAATAAGAAAACTTTAAGTCATTTCAATTGAAAAGAATAACAAACTCACAATGATAAAGTAGTTTGAATTGATGGTTGAATTCATAGTAATTCGAATAATCTGAATAAGGCTTTAAAATAAAGAAAGCGAAACCTCATCTTCTAAATATCTTATTGTCACACCGATTGTTTATTCTGATTTATAGATCCATTAACGAAATATATTCTTATGGTTGTCCTACTTGCAAAACGCGAAATCATGTGAAATAATATCCTTCATGGTGGCGCCACAATATCGATATAATCGAAGTGATTTCCCTTATTTTCCTCGTTCCACATACTTTCGAATGATACTTTCTTTCCAGTCTGTAAAAGTCATCGATAAACCTGATTCTTCAAGAAATTTCTAATTGGAACACATCCAATTCACAATTTATCCATTATTTGAATTCGTAAATTCTAATGAATGATCCTTCAGGAGAATCTTCAAACGTATTTTCATCTCATGAAAACCGATCCATAAATTCTATTTACTTTGTCTTAGAAAGTAACGAGATGCACCATCTTATGAACGTGTGTAAGTGAAAGGAACCTAATCTGACTCTATATAAAGTGATATTAGATAATGTAGAAATCCCTTAATGATATTTCTATGAAATGTGCATTTAAAAAATATACAAAATAATAAAATAGCACTAATGAAATAAATATTAAGTTGAAGAAATTTTAAATGAAGATTTTATTATTATTAAACATAACGCTGATTACTTAAAGTTTTTATATACATATGATATGATGTGGAAAGAGGATAAATAGTGTTGTTTTGGAAACCGGTCTATGCATTCACTGCGAACTTGACCTACTGTCATACTTGTAACTCATTTAAGTATGTACAGATATAAAAAGATACAGCTAAACTATGATCAGTTTGATAAGAGATCTCGATGAAATAATCAAATTAATTATCATAATTAATTTTACCCTGATATTTTGAATGTTTTTTTAAAATTATAAAATTAATATAATAACAATAAAGATTTCTTAGGAGATTTCTAACTATTCAATGTTTTTTAAATATTTTTTTAAATCAATATCTATCTAATCTTAATTGCGTGTTATTATCTCAGCAAACTAACCTGAATTCAATTAGAAGAAGAAAAATTTTTTCCTATTTAGATTATAGAGAATTTGTTAAGCGAAAAGATGCTGAGGTGAACATGTTGCGGAAAGCACGGAAGCGACGTTAATTGGAGCGTGGAACGCTCGAGCAAGAAGTAGTCCTCGATCTTAGGAAGCTTTTGCGCGTGTTCTCGTCGAATCGTGTGCTATATGAACCAGGCAGCGACTAAACTGCGGCGAGACAGAAATTAATTCCATGCGCGCTTTCTACTCCAGTCTCTCGACACGCTATTAATTCGAGAGGGACTCTATTGTTTCGGTTTTAAATATATCGAGATATCTATAAATCATGTGATGTACTTTCTTCGAGTTTATGATGTTACATTACAAGCATATATTAAATGGAAAAAATTTCTGACTTACGAAAAAACGAAAGAAGAAATTTCATTTTATTTCAGATAAATTAAATACATATTATGTGATGAAATATCAATTTATCAGACTTTTTATCATCAGGATTTTTCATCGACATAATCATTTTCTTCTTTATCGAGCCATGCGATTGAGTGATTGGTAATTCTTTCTATTATGAGTAGATGGCGTATAGAGTAGCACTATAAATTGTAATTGATATAGGAAATAAGAAAAACGTGGATTTTTTATCGAGTTCGAAAGGTAAACGATGATCCTTTCACTTTTCTAAGTCATGTTTTCTAATTATGAACGAGTAACTTTCATCGTAATTACAGGTAACACCTAAACTTCTTATAATTCTACTCGTAATTATGAAACTCAGATACCATCAACGAACTTCTATATAAATGATCTTATGAAACAAAAATTTCAAATCACTATTAGTTATACGCAATTTTCTAAAACTTCCTCATTCTTAAATAAATTATAATAAAATTTGTACCATATTATGAGAAAAAGTTTTCTAATTGCTATTTCAAGCAATTCACACTACTTTACATTTTTATGTAACAAGAGTTTTCATGTTACATAAAAAAGTAATAGCTTAAACATACATTCAAGATATTTTATAACATTAATAAACTATTACATTCAGTTTAAATATATCAGATATGATATAATATTCATTTAGGTTGATCTCATATGTATTCCTATATATTCTGAATTCTATATTATTAAATTTTTTTTTTTAATTTACATATAGAAAATTATATACATATAATATATATTTACATATAAAATTATACATATATATATCTTAAATCTAAAAACCAGTTTTTTTCTACTTTATATATTATCAATTTAAACTTATTTCACATCAAATTATTCTTTTTTACAATTCGAATAAAATATACAATATACATAACCTAATTTTATATAAAGAATATACATTCTGTAAAAGTTAGAGCATTTCTATAGACTTGAATAATACTATGGTTTCCCCTTTTCCAATAATTAGGCTTTTGTCAATATGGAATCAAACCTGAAAGCCGAGGTAAACGCCAATGAGTGATCGCTGTCACTCTCGATGGGACGTTAATGGAAATTGTGCGTGACACATGTTGCCTTCTAATTATATCCGGCCGGTATACGGTTAATCACGAGAACTCTACGTAATTCTGGGCCAAACGTGTTTCCGCATATCCTATGTCTAACTATGCACGCGAGAGAATCTGGATAAAATTGGGTTATCTGAAAATTGTCAACGAGTTTCGAAATTTCTAATCAAAATTGTAATTTTTTTATTACAGCTTTATAAAATATACAAAAATTTTTGCCCTAACGATGATTTCTTTTAGTGATTTTTTCCATATATTTTAAAAGATAAACTCAAAGTTAATTGATTTATTAAAATATACAGAATGATTCATTAAATATATTTTCAGAAATTATGTGGATGATTTGGCTGAATACATAAAATAATTCATTTATCGTAATACTGCTAAAAGTCTTGAAAATTACTTAACAAGATACTTGAGAGATATATTTAACAATGATTCATGTTTAATGTTCCAGGAAAATTTATTAAAGACTAGTTTTTCTCAAAAACTATAGAACTAAAAAATTTAGAAGTTTATACATTTTACATGCTACAGAAAAAATTATGATGAAAAATATAAATAACTTTTTTTATCATTAATTATATCTTGTTTCATTCAATATATTAGAAACGAGATTGAGTGAAAAAAAGAATCTACTAAAATATATTCAATGTTAGTACAGTTTTCATAATAATTATATGATAAATATTATGAATGAAAAATCTTAGATTTTATATTTCACATTTATCCATCCAGAAATTCATATGACCTATGCTATTGATTTCTTCATCATTGATAGCATTCTTTTATCATTTTTAATATATGTATACGTAATAGTGACCCGAGATTAGTGGCTCTCTGCGATAAATGGAACAGAAATACTTATAATCAGGCTTGGATATTGTTCAATAAAAGTATATAATTCTTGCTACATCACTTAAAATACATACTGATTATAAAATATAATTTTTAATTATTCATTTATTTCGAAAAATTTTTAAATTTCTTTTAAAACTATTTATTTTTCCAATTCTAAGAGATTTTTTAAGAGATGATAAATTTCTACAATATTGACCGTCACTGTGCAAGTTTATACATCTATACATAATCATATTGGATCCATGAATTTTCTCTCTAAAAAAATCCAATTTATTTTCCACTTTCAGATATATTTGATTTTGAGTAATCTGTTCTGATCAGAATCAAAATTTCTGCAAAATTTTTAATCATTTTTATAAGTGTAATTTCATATACAGGATGATTCACACAAAAGTGATTCAAGTGTAGTGTCGAAAGGTAAGTTAGATTCTTTTATAAGCATATAGTTTCATATATACAGGATAAATATTCTCAACATTTTTTTACAAATCTAGGATTTCATAAACAGAATACTTCAAACTAAATTAATTCAAGATACAAACAGATTTAGAACATTTTCATACCAAATCAAAGATCCTCAACACAGATACAAGATTTACAAAATATCCTAAAAATAACACAACTCAAGAAATGTTCAAATAAATTTAAAATATATTTTTTTAACAAAACCGAAGGTAAATTAAATCCTTATCACAATTTTTTACAAAATATATGTATATAAGATTTCATGTAGAATCAAGTAACGTAATTTAACATATAAACAACAATTCTAATAGCAGAATAAGTTTCTAGAGACCTCATTTCCACCCTCGCCTAATGCCCTACCCAGGATTGTAGATTGTAGAGCGAGTGGTGCAAAGAGGAAATTTCGCATGATCCAGGGGCAATTCCATCTGGAAACGGCATCGATCGTGCACGTCCACGGTTACCTTAATGAGTCGGGGAGGGGCTGCCGACGTAATTAAGAAAATTGCAGCCGATCGAGCGTGGATCTGCCGTGCGCCACGAAAATCTCGCACGTGCTTGCGAGCATTATTCCACCTCGGCTCGAATATCAAGCCACGGCGGCTCCTCTAATGTTCCACCTTTCTCCTGCCGCAGTTTCTTCATTATGCATTCGCCGCGTGTCTCTTCGTTAAACCTCTTTCTTCGACCAATAGCCATCTCCTTGACATCTGTATTCCACCGAAGCCTCTGTTTACTTTGGCGCCAACGATATCGGCCACCATTCCCATTACCATGTTTCTAACCCGTTTCGTCCAATCTCTTTAACTGGGAGATCCAGATATGGGCTATATCGCGTGGTGAAAATTTAAATGGAAATTCATCGTTTCGCGCAAGATGTGGCTGCAATTGGTTTTATAATTTTTCACAGTTATTCGAACCGTTCAATTTCACGTGCATCAAGGAAAATTCATTCTCTTTGACGCACGAACTCTTAGCGAAGTGATGTATTATGCAACTCGAAAAACGTGTTCTTATATGCCATCATGAGAAAGTTCTTTAGGATTCTAAATTGAAAATGAAGAAAATGATTTTACGATTTTGTTATTCTTTAAATCCGATAAATTTGATTAACAAAATAACGTGTTATTGTATTCAAATCACGGTTTCTTTTTATTTTTTGTGCAAAAGTACGTTCTTGAATTTTAAGAAAATATTTTATTATGCAATCTATGAGATTTTTTGGAAGAAATCTATCTTTCTTAAAAATGATCGTACGTTCGAAAGTGGAATATTCTTCCTAACAATTATTAAATAGACGATGCATCAAATTTTCTTCACAAGAATTTTTTTACGGCAAGATCGAAATCAACTTTTGATTTTAGGAAATCATAGATTTTCTTTCTTTTTTTTTTTTTTCGTTCCAGGCTTGAACAGTTTGACAAATGAAACTGTCAGCGGTTGGGAGATATTTACCATTGCCCTCAGTGAGACAATTGGCACTGCCATTTTGGTGTTCATAGGATGTGCAGGCTGCATTGGGAGTTTGGGGATTAACCCTTCAGTATTACAAATCTCTTTAACATTTGGACTAGCTGTCTTGATAGCTATACAGGTGAGAAGTCTTGAAAAATGATCCTACATTATTACAGAATGCTGTTTTTTTAGATAAGAAAAGATGAATCTTTTCTTATCCAAAAAATTTCATTGAATTTTCTTCATCTTTTGGAATAAATGAATTTTAATAAGAGAAGTATTCATGAAAATATTTAATAAATTTAAGTGAAAGAATCTAATTTAAAAAAGAACTAGAGTAGAAAAATATTAATAATTTTAATCTTTCATAACGTTCTAATTAACAATTTTCGATATTTGTTCAGAATTCAGGCATGGCGCCAATAATATTTGATTATAATTAATTCAATATTAGTTTAAATTAAAATTTTCGTTTCTTTGGACGAGAAATAATGTTAATGAAGTTCAGATAGGTTGATTCAATTCAACTTTCCTGTTTGACACTTCTAAAACTCATCATCTATTTACAATTGCTAATCAAGCCTATCCAAACAAAAAATCAAAAGGTCAACGATTAGATTGAAATTCTATTTTTAAATTTCCGGCAACCCAATTCCATTTCAATCATGTACATTCTCTTTTTTCCTTTTCAAAGCTCTATTTTATTCTATTTTTAAATTTTTTAAAGATCTTTGATTCATTCATTTCGATTATAAAATTCCTCCATAAATGCTTTTTTACTTAAATATATTTTACTCCTTCCACTTTTATATTTTATTTTTCACAGAGCATTGGACACATCAGTGGCGCACACATAAATCCCTCTATAACAGTAGCAGCACTGATCCTAGGGAAAAAATCTTTACCTATGTCAATCTTGTATATTATTGCCCAATGTATCGGTGCAATGTTAGGCTACGGTCTTCTTAAGGTAAAACGCTATATTAAAGATCAATGCTTTAATATTTTACTTTCTAAATTTATTATTTTTCTCCTATTTATATATTCTTGCATAATATTCACGGTATATTTTAATTTATTTTATTTCAAAATTTGACATGGTTTATTTTCCATTCTATTTTCCTTTTTTATAAGATAATTATTATATTAAAAATTTATCTCACTATTTGATTCTTAATGATGTAATCTCGATAAGACATTTACCTATTTCGTAATCACATTTTTTTCTTCTCACCAGGTGATAACTCCAGTGAATCTAATGTACGCCACTACTCCAGACACAGCATCGTCCTTCTGCATGACCGACATCCACAAAAATCTGAACATATTTCAGGGCATAATGGCGGAATTCTTAGCGACCTTGATTTTGGTTTTATTCGCGTGCGGTTTATGGGACGATAGAAATTCGAAGAATACAGATTCGGTGCCCATAAGATTTGGTTTCTGTATCACGGTACTTTGCTTAATTTTCATCCCCTATACCGGATGCAGCCTCAATCCAGCAAGGACATTGGGCCCAGCCATATGGAATGGCTATTGGAGAAATCATTGGATCTACTGGTTAGGTCCAATCTGTGGCGCAATTGTGGCGTCGTTGATATATCGATATATATTTCTATACAAGAGAACCGAGACTGATTTTGGACAAAGAGAATAGGAACAACGAGTAATGATGGTAGGTAGAGATGAAAATAGCCGAATATCCTGCAATCCTACTTTCTTTTCATAGATTAGAATTATCTTTAATTTAAATTTTTAAATTAAAAGCAAAGACGCAGATTTTCATTTCCTTGGTGTCTTAAAATCTAATACTTTTTTTATTTTCATTCTTTAATTTTCAATATTAAAAAAATCATATATTATTTCTGTGGATCTAGAATCAAGTGTATTAATAATTTTAAAATCCTAATATGATTCTGAAAACAGTTGATACAAGTTTTCATGCAATTTCTTCTATTCTATTTTCTTCTCTATACAAAAAATTTCTTTCATCCTTTTTATTTATTCCTTTATCCATTCTATTTCACCGAAACGAAGAAAGAGAAATGTGAAAATAGGTCGAGCCACGTTAATCGACTGTCATTTTACTTTCAGCGAGCAAAATCGCATTTCGATAGTCCATGTTCGCAATTCGAGCGAGAAATCCTAATCGTATTGCACAAAGCGGAAGTGAAGGATTGAAATGGTCTCGAGGAGGAGTTCTTGATTGCGTAGACTGATCTTTCTCTTTTTCCATCGCTGTTTTTTCTTATATTCTCTTTTTTCACGAAATATTGCTACGTGTAAAATTAATCGTGAAAAGGAATTCAGATTATATGCGAATCAATGATTAATATGATTAATATGATTTCGACGAAAGAATACCAAAAAATAATATGAGTGGCAGAGCGATTAAAAATTGTAAAATATTTTTTTGAAATATTATGTATATAATATTTAAGATGAATCATCGATAAACGGAACTCTGATTTGTACAATATCTTCCGTTCTCTGAGTGATGAATTTTTTAAGAATTCCTTTATTCCCTTTATTAAAATCATGATCTCGTGTTTTTGGATATGAAGACAAAAGTAAATAAATTTGATACATTTTAAAAAATTCATTGTATATTTTTATCACATTTATCCTATTTTCTTATTGTTTCAGTATTTTACAATGATCTATTTTATTTTCGTTTCACAAAAAATGGAAAAAGTTTTAAAGATTAGAATTTTTAACTAGGACTATAAGCTTTTCAAGTTTCAAATTTTTATTATATATATATCTATGTATTTTCTACACTCTAATATTTACATTTAAGAATCTAAAATATTGTTAATTCTAAGTCTAACCTATTCTATCTATATTAAACTTTTAATATCTTTAAATAAAATTTTTTTTCTCCAAAAATTGTGTATTTGAAAATCATCCACTATATTCCCGCGAATTTCTTTTCTTTTTCACCGATTTTCTTTTTCCCGCAGATGCATCTAAATTGTTTACAGTTTTGAGTTTGTTGCACGCGGCAAAAATAACCTCGCTTTATTTGGCAATCGAAAATAAACGGCGCGATAATGCGCGCGCGCTGACGCTACCGCGCACGCGAGTAAACGAAATGGTGGAGGGGCAGCTACGTGGAGTGAGAAAGGTTGGCCACTGAATCAACTCGTCGAGGCGACCACGTGCCGCGGCGATAAAAGTGCGTACGATCCTACCCGTTCACAAACAATCCGGACGAGTGACGGTGCAGTGCACTGTGCTTCTCCATCGTGCCTTTCAATCGATTCTCGATCGTCACCTCTCGATCGTCACCTCTCGATCTCTGGCTGCGCGCGGTGTGTACAGTGATTGTGTGAATACAGCTCTGGTGATCATGTCCTCTAACAATTTGCGCTCAGGTAAGTCGTGGATAAAATCAAATTGTATCCATATAATAAATCACTGTTTTTCAATCTTTCTTTGTTGTTGGTATCAATTACGTATTCGTTATTATAATGGTAATTCAAATTTTATAATGATAATTCAAATTTTTGTAGGTAATGTAGAATTTTTTAATATCTATTAAGTTGAAGACACGATGAATTTTTAGATGTGTAATATTAAATTGTACGAAAGTAATATCGATTTTGAATATGATAAAATGAATTTTAATTTATAATGAATATCTAAATTTCATTTTTTATTATTTGAATTTAATTAGAATTGAATTTGAAATTGTAAAAATTAATAAAAAAGTTTAAATTATTTTTGAAATATTTTTAAATAAATTAAATTATATGTAATATATAATGTTTATTATTGCGATCCATTCAAAATTTAATACAATTTAATATGAATGTGATTCATAGATTGATAATATAGATACAGATATTCATAGTAAGGAACAAAAGTTTAAAACGATCGTTTTCTTAAAATTTTTAATTTTTGATTTATATATAAGGAGAAAGCGTGTGCAATTTGCACAGCGAAATCTCTCAAAATATTAGAAAGTAGGTCATTTATAAAATATTGAGTTTTATTTTCACAGAAATATCAATTTATTTCATGTGTACCATCATTGATATACTACATATATAATTTGGTAGAGACATCTGTGATTTAAATGAAAAGTTCAATGTGGGCCATATGTAACCTATATATGGCATTCAATATGTTAAATATATATAATATTGTGCGATAATCTATCAAGTGGATAGATATTTCAAAATTTTGTCTAGTACTTTATATATATATACATTTCACTTTATTCCCATTTGTTTTGATTATTCTTTTAGTTTGGATAGAGCATAAAGTGCAAATTCATAGGACAATAAGTATCAGTCATTCTGATTTCTTAGTTTCAAGTCAGTGAATTAATAATATTCTTACGATTTGTGTAAAAAAGTTATGTAAATCTATTATCAAGTAAATAGTATATCTAATTAGTGCACAGTGATTGAATATTTGATTGTGTTTCATTGACGTAATTGCATGATATATTCGAATGGGTTAATATCAATTTTTATATCAATTTATATTAGAGTATAAGTTAATAGTTGGTTTTTATTATTTATATAATTAGTAAAATTTCTACTAAACTATGGATAAAAATAATTCAATGTGATTCTTAAATGATATCGAAAAATCTCGTAAAGTTTTCTTATCTAGTTTCTTTTTATTAGTTTGTTGTTAAAAATATTTCAAATATTGATCTAAATATGAGTAAAAATAAAAAATTACAAACTTACAAGGTGGATTAATAAATTTATATTTTGTAGGTTAGGTTTGGTTAAGTTAGCCATCAATTCAGTGACTCGCTCGTTTTGATCAAATATTTTGTTATTTGCATTGAAAATATTGTATATTAAATATAAGTTTTCTGTGTTCTTATTGAAATTCTAATCTTAAAAATGAACAAATTAAAGAAGTCGATACGACTTACTTACTTCGATATTAAATCATAATATATGATAAACTTTAATTTGATTAAAAAAGATAATTGAAAGTTGATTCAAAGAAAAATTCGATGTATTTTGATGAAAAAAAGGAAGAAGAATATAAATTGTTTAATTAAAATTGCGAAGTGAAATGTCGAAGCATGGATAATCGTGAATATAATAATGTTTGTTTTTCGATACTACCTTGTGATTCGATTTGTGTATATATTGAACACGTTGTTAGTTTACGACAGAACGAAGATTTTATTTTAAAACGAAATTTGTTTTGCTTTTTAAAGTTCTATTTTTACACATTTTGTAGTTTTCAAGACAATCTATATATCTGTTTCTAGTAAAATCGATGCCAATCACGAATGCGGTAATATCCGAAATTCTTGCTATTTGCCATAGCTTATTTCATAATTTCTGACTAAATCAAAATACAAAAATTATATCTACATAAATAACAATTATCTGAATGATAACTAAAAACAAATTTTTGTGAAACAAATTTTTCTCAGTTTAGCAAAATATTTTATGTAATGTTTAAGTTCTTCATAAAATATTAGAGGTTATTTCAGTTTTGCTTTAGAGAGAACTGAAAATTAGAATATTTCATGCTAGGAAAAATTTATCTATACATTTCTTTCTTTTTAACTTTCAATTTCTTCTTTACTGTACAATTTTTCATTTTTTTTTATATTTAATATATAGTATTTCTCAATTTTGTTTTCATATCATTATTTCATATCCTGCAAATATTAAAATATATATATATTATATTTCTACATCAGTGTTTACATATAAAGTTTCATTTTTTCAAGGAATTCAAAGAAAGAATATTTTGAGAATAATTTTAAGACACATGTTGACTAATGTTTTCTTATATTTGCGTGACAATTAATTATTATAATGACAAGAAAATGCAACGATTTTAAATTATTCGATATCGAATTTTGTTGATTTTACTTTATTTATCACGATTAGTCAAACACATTTGTACACTCGTTATTCAGACTTTGACACTTATGTTAACAAATGATACATATTTGATTTAACAATTGGTGATCATACGAGAAAAGCATGATAATCACATTTTCTGACTACTTTATGACTAACAATTGGGCATTCAGATATAAAATATGAAAAAAATAATCGAAACAATATAATATAATTATATTATATATAAAAATATAATATAGTATTTTTGGAATATTGAAAATATAATAAAAATAAATTTACGATTACCATGTTAAATCATGACAAACCAACTTCTTTTTCTTTTTTTTTTTTTTTCCAAAATTTTTAAATTCAAAGTTGTATAATTTTTCCATAATCAAAATTACATTATTCAAACTCGAGTCGTTGAATGTTCAATTATGGTCGTAAATCTGATCAAGCTAACATAATCAACCGTAGTAATTATTGGCATCTGTTTTATTACGTTTGATACAGATGTCGAAGACCGATTAAACTAATCGTAAAAATACAATAATATGATTACGTAAAATAATAGATCGAATTCAATTCGATTTGCATTTTCTTATTAATCCATGACCTTGAAATATTTCATTAGCAAAACATCACATCAAAATTGCTCATCGATGAATAATTAAATTTTCATAAGAAACAGGTATCTTTGCGAGCACGTGTATTATATTTTTATTTCAAGAATGTTTTATGTATTTATACTAGAAACATTTATCGAACTGAATTATACATGCTTCTTCTTATTGCTTTTTCTTTAATCGTTGAAATTGAAAAAACAAAAAAGCAAAAGAAATTTTTATTACAATGAATTTATGCACATATCGATTAGAATTTTTAGTAGAATAATAATATATTAATTTCATTTATAGTAGAATTAATGTATAACTTAAAAACGGATATGATTTTACGTTTTTATTTCGATCGTTTAGTATTTTAGAATTATATCTTTTTTGTGATAAAATAGAAGAAAATTTCACAATATATTTTAACTGATATTAAATCGCAAAATTTATAATTTCTTAACAAAAATGATGGTAACTCATAAATACCTTGAAAAATAAAAAGGAAAAAAGGAAAAAACGAACCATTCAAGAGAAGAGGAAAAAGAAAGTAGGAAAATAAAATATCGCTTGGTATACAGAATCGAGTATTTGCCAATTGCTCACGTGGCCGAGTGCAAGCAGGCTCGATAGCATAGCTGCATCGCGCGATCAAACTTTTGATTGCGTAACAATGTTGCTCCATAGCACACACAATTTTCTACCGACCGTTATACTTTCTTTTTACGATCGAGCAAGTGGTATCGTTCTGAAACCGGTTCCTCCCCGGTTATCCTAACAGTTCAGAGGTCAAAGATACGTCTAAATTAATTTTGTTTTAAATTCGAGCCGAGGTTATTTTGATTTTCGGTTGAGTCAAAATCCAATTCCAATTTCCTTTTTTATCGACAGAGTTATCACGAATAAAATGAATATATACATATACATTTATCTCTTTAAGGAAAACTTATCGAAAGTAATACGATTCGTGGAAGATTGGAATTCCTAAAGATTCGTAGAAAAATAAAGAAATTGAATTTTTTAATTTTTGATATCTTTAATAATAATTTGATATCTTTAATAATAACACGTGATCATTACATGATTTTAGATGGTATTAATTTTATTAGCTTTTCGATTTGATGTAAGCTACGGATTTCCAATATGTAGTTATATCTTAAATCGAATCATTTTTAATGTACAGTTGTTTTTCTTTGTAATTGATTTGTATAGTGAATATTTTTAGTGATTTTTTTTTATTAAATATATCTATCGTTAACTTACGATATTTATTCTATTGATATAAAAATTATTTTGGAAATAATAAATAATTAACGTAATAATATTGTATGATATAAATGGGAAAAATATAAGAGAAATGCAATTAAGAAATGATCAAAGTAATAATAATTTAAGATTTAAGTTTCTATTTTCTATTTTAAGTTAGATTTGTTTTTGTATAGAATGCTCATAGAAAATGCATATAACATCTAGAATATCTTCTTCAATATTTTTTCATTTTAGGTAAAAATAAATCGCAGATAAGATGCGATCGATTATTAAACATCGATCTCGATTGGGCCTGATTATTCACTTATTTTCCACATTTATCGAATATTATGGAAACAACGTTATCATTCTTGATGACACAGTTGCTGATAGATAAGCTTGTTTAAAATAACTTACCGAGGGGATGAATATAGCGATTGATAATTGACATAAGGTTAGAAAAATTTTCCAATTGGTGGCCATAACGATACTAGCGCCACCTTGGCCTCCATCTTTTCCTGTTCTCTTTTGCAATAAGACTTCTCCTATTCGAATTGAATATTTATTAAAGATGAGGATGGAAATTTTCTCATAACATTCTTTTAATTTATTAACGTATTTAACGCTTAAAATTCAAATTCCACATGAAATCATATCAAAATTTCATAAATTATATAATTCAAC